TAGCAAATAAATCTGGGTGACCTACTCCATGGTAGACACTGCTCTAGGCACCAGGGGTTCAGTCAACGCAGCCAGTGGTCCCTTACCTCGTGGCTTCACATTCAAGATGAGAAGATAAAGGTGAAACCAATATGTGACTGGGATAGTGTGAGAGTGTGGTAAGTGCTAAAGAGAAATTAATTAAGAAAGCGATTCATGAAATATGGAGGATGTTAAAACTGAAGACAGTGGAGCACAGGAAGGCCTAAAGAGGCACTGCTCTTTGTAAGCACATGTTTAATTGCTCATCCCAAAATAAACTCATCATAACCAATTTATTTTGTAGATATTATTGATGGAAGATATACTAATAACAAAATGCCTATTAGTCTTTCAAAGTTATCAATTTATTTACTAAAAATACTGATGGGAATATTACCTTAGTTTCTTAAAAGAATAGTAACACAGAGTTACTAAAACATTCAGTGTGTGTATGCATGAGCATGCATACATGCAGGAAATATCTAAATTAAATATTTTGAGCTAAAATATTACTGTTTACTATTAAAACCAAACTTATATTTTGACACATGGGCCACCAGTTCCTTGCTGTGATGTAGGCTACTTGTTAACTTTATTTCTTCATTATAATAAAATCCACCATATAGATTTTAATGTAAGACTTTTCTCAGTGTGTTTTTATTTTTACGTTGCTCCTTACCAATCCAATATGCAGCACAATCTTGTGATTTTTGGCACAGGGAGGCTTGTTATAGGGAAGAAAGCAGAAATTGCATGTGTATTGATTCATGCATACATTTATATTTATTCATTTATTTCTGAAATGCCTTAAGGATTTCACATGATGGTTCTCTACAAGCCAGGGCCATGCACTGGTGAGGAGAAACATGCTGAGGTAACATTTCAGCTTCAGCTGGCCCCACCCCGCAGTGGGGACCCTCACCCCAATTAGGAATGTGCTGGCCTGCAAATCCCTCATCTTGGCCATGCACCCCAGTGGAGAGCCCCAGCCCAAATAGGGGTGTGGCCATCCTTAAAACCCCTCAATACTCCTCACCCCAGATGGCCTCTCCCTCCCAGTGGGGACCCCATCCCTATCCAGAACCCTATCAGGGCAGGCTGGCTAGCCCCCAACCACACACCAGGCCTCTCTCCTATATAATAAAAGGTCAATATGCAAATTGTTCCTAATGGCAGAATGAATGACCAGAATGACTGCTCAAACAGTTACTGTGAGGTGCACTGACCATCCCTCGATCTCTTTCCCCGGCGGCAGGCTCTGATCACCTAATGACGAGCAGGGAATCAGGGATGGGTGGCAGGGGATGCAGGTGGCACCAGGCCAAGGTCCTAGCTCCACCAGTCACCACACACACACAGAGAAACAGGTGGCAGGGGCGGGCCCGACAAGTGGGTAGAATGGACGACTTCTTGGTTACTCCCACCTGCTGGCTGGCTCCCATTACCTGATGGCAAACCTGGAACTGGGGGTGGATGGTGGTGGGGGTAGGGGCTGGCTGCGAGCAGCCGGAGAAGATGGCCCTGATCACAGGGCAGGCCTAGGGACTGCACCTGCTTACAAATTTCATGGGCTGGGACAGTAGTTTATATATAAAACATTGCATTTATTTAATGTAAATCTTTTCATGAGTTTCAAAATATACCTACATTCATGGTACCACCACCACAAAGTCTAACATTGTACACAGTGCTCTAAAATTTTATATTGAATTTACTCATCTGTTTTTTTAGAAAATGTGCTTTCTGAATTTTGTTGAAAATTTTCAAGAGCAAAATACCATAAATATATTTTTCTATATTTTTTATCCTAATAACTTGAAAGATTTTCTATTTACTTTTAGGTCTTTAGTACATCTGGTATATTCTCTTGTGTATGGCTTCAGGTACAATATGTGTGTGTATATGTGTGTGTTTGTGTGTGTGTGTGTGTTTCTATAAAATAATATCTTGAATCACTCATTATTTTACCTATGCAACATGACATATTTTATATTGCTCATTTCCAGCATTTGTATACTTTTTTTGTGTATCTATTTGTCTACCCACATACCAACTGGATTTCATGATTTGTGTTCAGGCAATCTCCCAACCACTTTTTAATTATTTTTTCTTAGATAGTCTTACTACTTGACCTTCTAAACATAGAGTAAAAATAACTTTTCAGGTTCAAAAAAAATACCTGGTTAGGTTTTCTTTGGTATTCTGCTGTGTTTATAGATTAATTTAGGTAGAAAATTAAAAACCTTACATTTACTTGTCTTCTTATTAATGATGTGGCATATCCCGCATGATAGTTACATTTTCGTCTATGTCACTCAAATATTTCTTAATGTAGTTTCCCATATATGCCTTATAACTATTTGTTTATAATTTTCTTTAAGTACCTTGTAAGATTTGTTGCTCTTGCAAATAGAAACTTAAAAAGCAAAATAATTTCTACTTGTATTGCTTTTGAATAGAAAATGACATTAGTGTTATATATTTATCAAAATTCTTGCAAATGTGGGGAATTTATTATTAATTTTGTGAGGTTTCAATAAGGAGCTCTGATCAAGATGGTGTCATAAGTAAATGTGGTACTCAAATCCTCCCACAACCACGTCAAAACTGCTACTAACTACAGAACAAGCATCATTCAGAGCCACCTGAAATCTAGCTGAATGAATATCCTACAGCTAGGGATTTAAAGAAGCCACATCAAGACTGCTAGGAGGAGGAGAGAACCAGAACAAGCTGGTCGCATTCCCACATACAGCAGATATAAATCGGGAGGATATCTGTTCTGCAGAGGTCCCCGCTGAGAAGCAAGGGGTCCCATCCACATACTAAGACCTGCAGGCCAGGATTCCAGTGGCAAGAGGAGACATTTCAATTATTTCTGGCTATGAGGACCAGTGGAGATTGTGGCTGAATGAGATGGAGGGCTTCTGGAGTCCCAAGAAGTTCTTTTTAAAGAGACTATGAGTAACCCTACTTGGGCTCATTTGGTTCTGAATTCCCGCACTGGGACAACAGATTGAAAATCACTAGGGACATACAGGAAAGAAATGAATTGTCTGGCATCAGAATGAGAACTAGCAGGCAGCTTTCTGCCAGAAGAAATGCTGGCAGAGGACATTGTTCCTTTTCTGAGACCCCTTCCAGAGAGCCTGCAGGAAGCATACCTAGATCTCCATCAACCTAACCTGTCCCACACTGTCTGCCCTGCCCTGGTGATTCCCTTTCCCTTACCACACTCAACTTGAGGCCCCACCTCCCCATGTCATTTCCAGTGGCTTTTTCATCAATGTGTCCTCTCTTGCCTCACGCTTCAGACACTCCTAAAAAATCTCAAATAAACAGCATCAGGCCTCTGCACGCACTGTACCACTTTCTACGTGGCCCCAGGCCCAGCACTAGCAGTAGCTGGCCTTGGTTCACATGTGCCCTTTCTTGAGCACCTTCAAGCCCAGCACTAGTAACAATCATTTGCAGATAGTTCTGTAGCATATGCTGGGTGGCCCAAGGAAGGGCAGACGCGGTCACTAATTTTAAAGCTCCTGGGAGACCCTAAAGCCAGCTTACGCAGCGAAAAAGCTTCAGACTACA